GGTGGGCGAGCCATCGGGAGCCTGAGCTGCTTGCCGGGATGGACTCTGATCCCCTTTCCTTCCCCGTGTCCATCTCCAGGCCTGAGGCCCCTTTTCGCTCAGCGTCCGATGGCGGTGCTTCCACCCGTTGGCCACCCTGGAGGAGGCTGCGCCCTGGGATCTATCCCGCTGCCAAGCTCTCGAGGCAACAGACCCTCTCCCCTGCCGTTCGGAAGCACCCGTCGTGCTCCTTGAACCGGCTGACACCGAAGCCTCAAAGGGCAGCATCCGTGCGAGGGTTCAAACCCGCTGGGGCTTTTGGGAAGGCAGAGTCATGGGACGCAGTGGGACGCGTCTGGAGGCTCGGATGGCAGTTGGCCAAGCGGGCGGCTCTTCTTCCCTCTCGGCCTTTGTCTGAGGTGGGGAAGCATGGAAGGCCGGTGGCGCTACCCGATGCTCCCGAGGGGTCTGTGTGTGTGTGTGAGGCCTGGAGGAGTTGCTGTGTGAAAGGAAGCAGGAGGTGAAATGGCCGCAAGCCAAGGAAAGACACCCGCACACAACCGGTTGAGCTGGCAGAGGCTGATCGGCAGAAAGTGCCCGGACCTTCCCTGGCACCAGCCTCTGTTTCCCAGCCTGAACCTCCATCACCACCAGGAGGGTGGCACCGGCTGTCCTGACCAGGACGCTGCTAGGGTTGCTGATTCTGGGAGCAGGGGGACAGAGAAGCCCTTCCTCAGCAGATGATGATGATGATAAGGACTCGGGCAAGGGTGGGCCGTCCGTCTCCAGAGGCCCCACACGTGCCCGTCCCAGAGTGTCAGAGGGGGGCACTTGGTCCCTCTCCCCACCCCAACATTTTTCCCTTAGAGGAAAAAAAAAGTGTTTTTGAAAAGGTCCATTTTGTTTCTGTTATTTTTTTAAATCGCTGGTTCCCAAACTTTTCCCAGTCAAGACCTGCTTTTATAAGAGCCAAGGAACCTGTGACGCCCCCTGTGATATTTGAATAAAAATAGATATTTTTTTCAGAATACAGTTCTAACCTAATAGTATGAATGTAATGATACATAATGGGTGTGTGTGTGTGGAGAAATAAGCCTCTAGCAGATAAAAAATTGAAAAGAAAAAAATGGAAATAACTTGAGATCAATATACTTTATTGGGTGCATGTCTCTCCCCCCAAAAAAAGCCCTTTCCATGAGGAGCCCCTCCCCCTCAGGCCCAATGAAAGCCCCCCCGATGGCCCCCTCCCTGGTTCCCCTCCCTCACCTTCTTGCCCTTCCTCTTGACCTCTTCCTCCCTGACTCAGGTGGGACCCGGAGGCTCCCCCTTGCCCGGGTCCCTTTTCCCTTCGCTGTTGGGCCCTTGCCACACCTGGAAGAGCGGGAGGCTCAGGGGGAACGAAAGGTACCACGGCTGCTGCCGCAACCACAGCGCTGCAATCCTGCCACCTTCTTGGCTGTCAGCCTTCCCAGCGTCCACCAGCACCCATCTGAATCAGGCCTCTTTGAGCCGGTCAGAAGGGCTGGTGTGGGTTCTCGAAAGACGGATACGGAGGAGGAGAGAAAAGCAAGCAGCTCAAGATTACCTATTGGGCACGTTTAGCCTTGAGAAAAGAAGGCAGAAGGGTGATAGGAATGCACTTTGCCAATCCTTGAAAGGGTGCCCTGCAGAAGAGGAGGGGCAGGGTCTGTTCTTGATCATCATCCCTGAGTGCAGGACACACAACAAGGGGGGGGGGCTCAAATTACAGGAAGCCAGATTTTGGTCGAATATCAGGAAAAATGTCCGATTGTTGCAGTATGAGAATGGAGCCCATGACCTCAAGGGGAGGTGGGGAGCAGCGCCCCAACGCTGGAGGGAGGCCTTCCAGAGGAACTTACAGGCAAACACCGGGCAGAGGCCCTTCAATCGGCGCTCCTGCCTCGAGCAGGGGGATGGACTCCATGGCCTTAAGAGACCCCTTCCCATGTCAGCATTTTACGATTCTGTGATCTGTGGGCCAGGAAGATTAAAATAAAGCAGCATGGTATATACCATAGGTAATATGATAAAGATAATGTCAGTTACCCCCCCCCGAGAAAACACTTTATGATCCCCCCTTGGGGTCAGAAGCCCCAGACTGAGAACTTGTGTTTTAAATGTTGAAATGTGTCGGTGTTTGAGGCAGAGGGGCTGAGGATTCTTCAATGGGTCCCCCAGCCCTAGAGGGCGAAGGGGTGGTGGTGGTGGTGGTCTTTACCGGATTCCATTTTCCTCCCCATTTTCTCCCCCACTTAAAGTTTCGAGCCTCTGGCGTGGGGTTTGCATCGGGTCGCCGTCCATGCCCTGAAGCTTTTTGCCCCTTTTTGACAAAGAGACGGAAGGAGCAGCAGCAGGATGACCAAGCGGTCCCGGGGGCAGAAGCTTCAGGAGGCAGGCAGGGGTGGCGTGCCTTGGCCATGAGGGGGGGGGCTCACTCTTTCTAGTGCATTTTCTCAACTTCCCTCCAACGCCCCCCCCCCGCAGGCCTTGGAGCAGAGAAGGCTGCAGAACTTCCAGCAGTTGTGCCAGCTGGACGAAGAGGCGCTGGTGCTGAACCAGGAGGAGTTGGAGTGTCGCATTTGCTATCTAGAGGTGAAGCCAGGGGAGGGAGTGCTGCTGCGGGAATGCCTGCACAGCTTCTGCAGGTAACCGGCCCTTTGGGGGGCACCTTTGGGAGGGGTGGGCTGCCTTTGGGATGCCCCCCCCAGAGCTCAGGAATCCTCCATTCTACCCAGGGACTGCCTGCGCCAGCTGATCAACTGGACGGAGGAGCCCCAGGTGGCTTGCCCCTTCCGGGACGACTCCTATGCCTGCGACAGCCACCTCCAGGACCGGGAAATCCGGGCGGTGAGTCTGGAGGGCAGGCCCAGCCCTTCCGAAGGGCCGTGTCACCTCTCCAAGGCAGACAGAGGGGGGAGGTCCAGCAGAGGTGATGCTTTGGGCCAAGGAGGAGGGGAGGGGGCTCCCCGCGCCCAGCCCAGCCGGGGCTCTAAGACAGCTCCCCCCACTCTGCAGCTGGTGTCTCGGGACGAGTACGAACGGTTCTTGGAGCGGCGGCTGGCGGTGGCCGAGAGCCGGGCCCAGAACAGCTACCACTGCCGGACAGCCGACTGTCTGGGCTGGTGCATCTACGAGGACGATGTCAATGAGTTTCGCTGTCCCATCTGCTGGGCCCTCAACTGCTTGGTCTGCAAGGTAAGCGGGCCCGGCAGCGGCCCCTCGGTAGCCTCGGTGTGTGCGTGTGTTTGAGCGGGAAGGGGCCTTGGTGAGCAGAGAACGGACGCGGGGGCTCCTCTGAGCTTCACGGTGCCTGCATCGTGGACGCGTAAACTGCCCAGAGAGGGCTTTAAGTGCTGTGGGGCGGCATGGAAGCCGCCCGCTTGGCTTTCGCTTTGTGCGGAGGGGACCTGTGTGAGCCCCGAAAGACTCCAGAAGGGAAGGACACGAGAGACTCCAGGGGGACAATGCCGTCTCCGTCTGTTTGCCCACCTTAGAGGAGGAGGTATCGGCCGGGAGAAAGGCTGAGGCCACCTTTCCCCTGTTGTGCGGCTTTGGATGCTCTTCAAAATGGTTTAGCACACCTTGCTCTGAAGCTGCACCACTTTCTGTTTGTTGGCAGAGCAGGCTTCAGAACCCACCCACCCCACCCCCCGTGCTGAGGGATGATGGCATGCAGGGCCCTCTTGTCCTGCCCAGAAAGCTGTCAGGACCTCGAAGGTGAACCAGGCCCTGCCAGGTCCGGCTGGAGTGACCTGGAGGCATGGGGCAGAAGAGGGCCTCTCCTTGGCCAGGCCCCAGGGACCCTGACTTCTGTCCTCTTCCTCTCCCCCAACAGGCCATTCACGAGGGCATGAACTGCAAGCAGTACCAGGACAAACTGCAGTTTGAGGCCCACAAGGATGCTGCTGCCCGGGAGACCAGCGAGATGCTCAAGGTGAGCTGACCGACGTGTTGGGCACCCCTTGGAGATGCCCCTGGGCCAATGGAGTGCAGGGAGCAGGTCGAGGGTGAGTGGGCTCACCTGCTGTACCCCCCTCTCCAGACCATTTGCCCCATGGCTGGTCTTTTCTCCCCATGGTTCCCCCTTCACTTACAAGGATGAATACCATATTTTTCTGTGTAAAGGACTATACTTTTGTTCAAAAATTTTAGACTAAAAATTGAAGGTTGTCTTATACACAGAAGCTGAGGAGAGAACAAAAACAAGTGGAGGGGAAAGCAGGGATCAAATTGTTCCTGCAGGGCTTTGATCCTTGCTTTCCCCTCCACTTGCTAATCCTTAGCAAAAGGAAAGCAGGGATCAAAGCACTGCAGGATCGCTTTGATCCCTGCTTTCCCCTCTGCTTTCTAAGTTCCATGGGGCTTAACAAAAGAAGGGGGAAGGAATCAAAGCAATCTTGTGGCTGTATAAGGGGGAAAGGGATTAAAACAATCATGCAGTTGCAGGATTGCTTTGATCACTTTCCCCCTCCTTTTGCTAAGCCCCGCGGGGCTTAGCATGAAGGGAGGAAGCAGGGATCGAAGCCATCCTGCCGTGCTTTGATGCCTTTCCCCCTAGACTTGCTGAGCCCCACTTAGATTTCTTAATTTTGGGTTAGAAAAGTGGGAGGGGGGCATCTTATACACTGAAAAATACGGTATTTAATCTGTCACTTGGGCTGGAGGCCCTGAGCAAGCGGTTCCCCTGGCAGAGCACAGGCTTTGTGCCGCTGGCGATAAGAGCTAGAAGTCTGTAGAAGCCGTGGAGCTGGGAGAGGCTGGGTGGTGGGTGAATGGTTGCCTTTACCAAGGAAGCGGTCTTGCCTGAGGGAGAGGGAGGAACAACGGCCTGGACGCAGAGGCCTGCTTCCCAGGCCTGGCCTGGCCGTTCTTCTGGCCCCTCTTGCCCTCCAGTTGCCTCTTCCTTCCCCTTCTTCCTCCCTCCCCGCCAGACGCTGGTGCTCCTGGGAGAGGCCATGCACTGCCCCGTGTGCCGCATCGTTGTGCAGAAGAAAGGGGGCTGCGACTGGCTCCGGTGCTCCGTCTGCCAGACCGAGATCTGCTGGGTGACCAAAGGGCCACGCTGGGGGCCAGGGGTAAGTCGGCGAGGATGCCCTCCTTCCAGCTGGGGGCAGGAAGCAGCTCTGAGGCCAGCACTCGGCCGGCAGATCCTGGGGAGGGGGGTGTCCGGCTGGGGGCTGAACTCAGGCAGTTGGCTCCTCTTGACATGGCGCACGGGTGTGTGTGTGTCTGAGAGGCTGCCTTTGCTGCTTTGTTGGAGACACGGAGACCCTTTGGAGGGGGAAGGATTGAGCTCCCTCCTTACTGTTCTGGGGTCCTGGGTCTGGAAGCGAAGCGTTTTCTTGCACCTTCCCAAAAGACTTTCTCTCGCCTCCCCTGCCCTGATTCTGCCAGGCCATTCCTCTGTTTTTGTAATGCCACTTTGTAAGGGTCCCGATGCAGTGCAGAGCTCCATGGATGGGTTGCAGTCTCCTGAACCTTTCAGTGCTGAGTCAGCGGAAACCCTTAAATTTTTGTTCCGTGCGTCTACTTCAATATTTGAATCCAGGACAAGAAAGCTGGTGGTCTCCAACATGAAGCTGAGACCCCCTCCCCCCCCCGCCAGTTCAGCAGAGAGGTCGTAATAATAAGGCACTGAAAGGCAGCTCTGGCCAGAATCTCCACCCCCAGCACACAAAAGGAAGAGTCTTTGGGAAGATTCCCGCCGTCCGTCCCTCCTGCCCGGACGGTATCTATCCCATGATCTCCAGAGCGGGGACTGCATGGCCGGCTGCAAAGGGCAATGGACCTGCCTGAAGATGGGAGGTGGGCAACGTGTAGCTCTCCAGTTATGAGCACCCAGTTCCCAAGCCCACCTCCTCCTCCTAAGAGGCAGCCACCCCCCACCCCTGAGCCCCCTCCTGGCTGTCCTGATCTCTTGGGGCACCCTTTCCTCGCAGGGTCCGGGCGACACCAGTGGAGGCTGCCGGTGCAACGTGGATGGAGAGAGGTGCCACCCCGATTGCCGGAACTGCCACTGACGGAGCACCTGCAAGAGGAGCAAGAGGTCTGACGAGATACAACCGGTCTGGGGGCTTCGTCGGTGTTTTGTTGAATCCCCTTGACTCACCTGGATGGCCTCCCCTTTTGCCAGGACCACCGCTTGGAGACAAGGGAGGCAGGAAGAAGGTTCCTCCTTCCGTCTCGCCCTCCCCCCCAAAACCCTGGACCACCCAGGGATGGTACTCCTCACCTTCCAGTGAGCAAGCCTCGCTGGGCCTTCCTTGGAGGGCTGAGAAGATCTGCCTTAGGAATATGTTTGCAGGCTGAGGACTAGAAGTAGGTTCCCCCACCCCCACCCCGTTGTTCCTCTACTGTGCCTGTGGACTCAGCTGCGCTAACGGGTCACACTATCCTTCATCTGTTGCCACAGATACTTGGGTCCTTCAAGCTGCTTCTGGACAAGCACCTGGTTTTTAACCGACCATCTGGGGCAGCAGCCAGTGTGTGGTGAGACATTTAGGGTGATGATGGGCGAGATCAGCAGCCAGGAAGGACAGACAGAAGGCTTTGATTTATATGTTACTACACAGTGGAAACAAACCCCATCAATAAAAAAAGACGTGTACTGGGACCGTGAAATACATTCTTTAAAACAGCCAGGGAGTGTGGGGTTGAAGATGATGGCATCCTGCTGAAGCTAAGACTGCCTCGCAGGAGACATCCAAGAGCATAAGAGCAGCCCTCTGCTGGATCAGGCTGAGGGCCCCTCTGGTCCAGCTCCCTGTATCTCACCATGGCCCCCACCAGACGCCTCTGGGAGTCCACGAGAGACCTGTCTCCTGATCCCCCTCCCCTGCCTCTGGTCTTTGGAGGGACCTTCCTTCTAAGCCTGGAGATTGTACATTCCCCATCATGGCTTGTAACCTGCAATGGACTTTTCCCAGAAATCTGTCCAATCCCCTTTTAAAGGCACGTAGGCCAGAGGCCATCATCACATCCTGTGGCAAGGAGTTCCACAGACTGACAACATGCTGGGTCAAGAAATATTGTCTTTGGTCTGTTCTCCCTCTCCCAACACTCCACTGGAGTGGATGTCCCCTGGTTCTGGTATTGTGTGAGGGAAAAGCGCTTCCCTCTCTCCACTTGATCCATAATTTTATCCATAATTTTATACATCACAATCATGTCCTTGCTCAGGCACCTCTTCTCTAGGCCAAAGAGCCCCAAACGCTGTCACCTTTCCTCATCAGGTGTCATCATTTTAGTCACTCCCTTCTGCACCTTTTCCAGGTTCACAATATCTTTCTTGAGGTGCGGCGACCAGAACCATACACAATACTCCAGGTGTGGCCTTACCAGCATTTTGCACAAGGGCATTATTGTTGGCGGCTGTTTTATTTTCAACCCCCCTTTTTAACGATACATGCAGAACAGCAACTGGCTTCTTTTTGAAGAAACTCATTTATTTGGTGCCTGCCACCCTTGAATCCCAAGGTCCTCTTCCTAAGACCTTGTGGGTTACTGAATGGATGGAGACCTGTTAAATAACCGCAAATGCACGGGCGAAGGGCGCTGCGTACATTCCTGGGGCAGAGGACAAGGCGTTGCTGCTCCAGCATCACAAGGAGATTCACAGCCCCTTCTCGGGTCACTTTCTGTGAGGCTGGTAGGTCAACTGCCGGCTCTTGAGTACTGTCCACTTGTGTCGGTTGAACAAAAAAAAGAGGGGAAACAAAATGCCTCCTAGCAGTAGGGCCTTCACAGCCATCCGCTTGCGTGTATCATGCTCCGGCATTGATACCCAGCAGCCAGCAGAGGCTCCCCGCCCCCCCCCACAGAGGAAAAGGTGGCAGCATCTCCAGCCCCAGCTTTTCTGGGAGAAGAGCCCAGTCCCCGACCCCTCCAACCACTCCTGGGAGAGGTGATAAGCGCCACAGGGTGGGCCTCTTTTGGGACCCCCAGTTTATTTATTCTTTTATTTATTAAATTTATAGCCCGCCCATCTAGACCAAGTCAACTCTAGGCGGCTATGGGATTTTCCACATCCCTGCTTTCTTTCCATGCTCTTGCCAGCCTCACCCTCCACCCCAAGCCCGTGTCCTCTACTGGTGGGAGGGAGGCTGACCTTCACAGCCATCCGCTTGCGTGTATCATGCTCCGGCATTGATACCCAGCAGAGAAAGGTGCAGACGTCTTTGGCCATCTGGGACAGGGTGGCAGGGGTGCCTGTGGAGAGGAAAGAGTGTCAAAGGGGGAGGGAGGGCATGCGGAGAGGCCACGCCACCCCCCGGTCGGCCTAACCTGGCCCCACTTACCATCCTCAAACTCCAAAATCTCGTTGTAGAGGGGGGCTGCCATGCCAATGGCTTGCCCAGGAAAGTAGGGGTTGAAATGGAGCTCGCCGCGCAAGTTCACACCAGCAGGTGGGTCGCAGTAGCCAGTCAGCAAGGAGAACACGTAGTCTTCTCCCCCATGCCTGGAGTGCAAGGGAGAGAAGGAAGGGATCAGGCCCTACAGAGACCCCAGCTGGTGAACATCCTCCACCCAGCACTCGCAAGGATCACTGCCGACGCCACCCACCAGAGCAACAGAAGTCCACCAGCCCAGTCCTTGATGTGCCCTGGGACTAAGCCAGGTGGCCCCAGAGGTTACAGCCTAGAGCTGCGTTACCTGGCTCTTATGATATAGCTTAAGTCTGGAGGCAGGGCCCCGTTATTTGCCGCCTTAGCTGCCTCGGGGTTGGGGTAGGGCTTAGGGAAGTAATCGGAGATCAGGCCGGGCCTCGTGAACATGTTGCCCTCGTCGTCAGGTCCGTCCTCCACTTGAATCTAATGGGGGACAAATGCCACAGAGGAGACTTAGGGCAGGGGCGGGCCATGAATTTCTACAAGGGGGCCACATGAAAAATCTGAACTATGTTCAGGGGCCAAACCAACGTTACTTAAAAATGAAATGAAACAGTGATGTTATGATTGTTTTTATTTTAAACTTGTTAATCTTGACAAATACAGTGCTAAAGAGGTTATTTGCAGCAACTGATCAGCTTTAGACCAAAAGCTATAAATGGTTTTGATGTTCAAAACTGCCTGCCGGCCGGACAGGAGCAGCTTGCGGGTCGTATGTGGCCCTCGGGCCGCACTTTGCCCAAGTCTGCCTTCGGGCCACCCCTGCCTCTACTCCCCAGGGGGAGCCACCAGCCTGGCCCTCGACCGCCCTGACCTACCTCCGCAGCGAGAGCCTTGGCTTCCTCTTCAGTGTGAGTGACCCCAATGAGGTGGCGGAAGGCCACGTACTGCAAGCTGTGGCAAGCGGAACACACCTGCTTGTAGACCTCGTAGCCACGCCGGATGCTGCTGTGGTCGAAGGCCTTGAGGAGGCCGCCGTGCTCCCACGGGTAGTGGGGCGGGTGGAGCCCCAGCTCGAAGGCGCCCACGGCGGTGTGGAGGGCCAGGGC